GTCCGCTGCCCTGTTGCTAGCCAGGGAGTCTACTGCTGATGACAGTCCAGCCCTAGTCTGCGGTCAGTCCAGTCCTTGACTAGCGGCCCTGGCCTGCAGCTGCCAGTTACAGGCTGGGTCAGATGGCTACGCTGCGGCTGCTCACACACCATAAGGTGTTTGGCTCTGTTCGTTTGCTTGTTCTTGAATAAAAGACAACAATACACCAATAATAACGTATTTAAACGAATACCAAATGCCTCAATCAATTAGTGGCGCGAGGCCAACAGTGCTCCCCCAGGCAGGCAGCAGCGTGCCGCAAGCAGCGGCGCGGTTCGGCGCCACCCAGGCGCGCTCGTCCGCGCGCTGCGCGCTGCGGCCGAGGCGCGGGCTCAGCTGCCGCTCCACTGTTATCAACAAGCTCAGTCCTCCATGCTCGCCTGGTTCAATGCCTGCGAGCAGCGGTGCGACACGTTCCTGCATGCGACGCGCTGGTGGCATGCATGACAGGGATCACCCAGTCCTGGCTGAGTGCGTGTTGTTGTCGGGACATTACACTTGGCCTTGCCAACACTGCTGCGCATTGCTCATGTTTGCAGATCGACCTTCATTCAATGAAGGTCGATCTGCCATTGCCGTAACACGTTGACCGGAAGTTCCAGTCAACGTGGTAATATACCTTGTTGTGCAGGGTACTAGAGGACTTCAAGGAAGTTCCGTCAAAAAGGTCGTTGCATGGTCGTCTGGGCACGTGAAAAATGAGGTCATGTCTGGACAACTCTGTCCAGCCATGTCCAGGGTGCTGGCATGTCTCAAGGACCTGGCTGCTGGCATGTCTCAAGGACATGGCCGCCTCCTGTACGGGACGGATAAGGCGCTGTCACCTGCTGCTGATGTGCCCAAGGCGCTGCAGCAGCTGCTGCAGCAGGCCCGGGTGTGAAGTTGGTTGTAAAAATTACAACGGTTTACCTAGTGCCACAAAGATACAATACATATCATCCTCATTCCGCTGTAATCTGATGGCGCGTGGTCCACGCTCAGCGATGCCAAGGCAGGGGATAGGGCCTCTACCTTGACAGTATATATCAACCCTGTGTGGACAGACATGGCTTGAAACACACATGCACTCCACTGGGGTCAAGTAAACCCTCATCACAAAACTCAAGCAAAACCCTGCACCCTGGTCTTAAAAATCTACCTCTCAAAAACGTTGCAAGAAGACCCGCAGCTCACATGTTGCGCCTCCTGTTGTCTGTAAACCTCCCATGCAACTCACAAACTCAGCCAGCTGCTGCGCCCTAGACCGGGCAGGATATGTGCTTCGCCGAGAGCTTGGTGGCAGACAGGTCTGCGCCCCAGTCCTGCAGCAGCTGCACGGTGCTCATGAAGTTGGCAAAGTTGGGGCGGTAGTGGCCGCTGTCAGCTGTGAGCTTTACGATGCGGCCTGGGGTTGGGATGCGTGGGGGCAAGCAGGGGTGAGGCCGCGGGTGGGGGCTGCAGGCTGAGAGCTTTGAAGGCGGCAGGTGCATCAGCAGGATGCTCACAAATGTATGGGACAGACCGGGGCAGGGCGCAACGCTGCAAGGGCCAGGGCGCCGCCAGGACGAGTACGGGTGGCTGTGAATGGCGAATTTGTGATACGCCTGGAAGCTCCCTGCAGAGCCAATCGCCCAAGAGCCCCTGCAATGCACCACACTGTCTTTTTTCAACCAGGCCCCAGCCCCTGAAGGCAATGACCCCCCCACCCTGCTTGACAACGATGCCCCCTGCTGACAGGACGGCACCGCCCCGCAGGAAGCTGCTGTGGTGGAAGCTGCCGCGGTGCTTGGCGTGAATGTACAGGCGCCCGCTCGTATCCAGCACCCAGATCCTAGTTTTGAGGCGCGGGGGCGGTGATGATTGGGGCGTGGGCTGACGCGAGAGGGATAAGGATGAGCAAGCATAACCAAACAGTGGCCCGGCTTCCCAGAGCAGGTTGAAACAAGCAGTGCGGGAACCAGCAAACACGGGCTCGGATGCGACGCAGCCTCGCGCGTGCCGACCGGGCGCTACCATTTGCAGGGCTTGGCCTCAAAATGCAGGATGTCTTCCTTGGGATCAGCCGGCACCCCAGCCAGCGCCGAAGCAAGTGCACGCACAGGCTGCGCCGCGGGCAAGGCGCCCTGCTTTTGCTGCTTTTGTTGCTGCTGCTGCTGCTGCTGCTGCTGCTGCTGTTGCTGCGGCTGCTGCTGCTCCTGACGGACTGGTTGTTGCTGCTGTTGCTGCTGCTGCTGCTGCTGCTGCTGGTTTTGCTGCTGCTGCTGATTTTGCTGCTGCTTCTGCTTTGCCTCAGCATGTCCACCGTGAGCAGCCAAGTCCCGCGCTGCAGCAACCATCGCTGCTGCCCGCCCCGTGCCGCCAGCCCCGCTGCCTCCGCCACGACACTCCGCCCGGTCTGCGGCGCCTGCGCCCGCAGGCGCCGCTGCATCGGCCATGCGCAACAGCACGATCGCATCGATCTCAAACCCACCCCCATCGTCCTTGTACTTCTTGGTCGCAGTCCCCTTCCTGTTTGTCAGGTGCTGCTGTGGTTGTTGCTGCTGTGGTTGCTGCTGCTGCTGCTGCTGCTGCTGCTGCTGCTGCTCCTGCGGTGGTTGCTCCTGCTGCTGCTGTGGTTGCTGCTGCTGCTGCTGCTGCTGCTGCTGCTGCTGCTGCGGCTGTGGTTGCTGCTGCTGCTGCTGCGGCTGTGGTTGCTGCTGCTGCTGCTGCAGCTGCTGCGGTTGCTGCTGCTGCCGCCGGCCCCCCTCCGCCTGCACCAGCTGCATCTCCGACCCCGTGTCCACCAGTGCGCCACTCGCGCGGTACACCAGCACGCCGCCCCTCTCCCTGTCCACCCGCACCTCCAGCCGCTCGAGCTCCCCCTCAGACAGGTACGTCACCCGCTCCCGCTCCAGCTTGCTGCGGGGCACCCCGCGGTCTGACAGGTCGAGCTGCTGCCCCCGGCCCTCGTCCAGCCAGTAGAAGAAGCGCGCGTCGGCGTGCGTCCGCGGCGCGTGGCCGGGGCCGTGGGCGTGGCCGTGGGCGTGGGCGGGCGCGTGGGCGCCGCTGTGGTTGGAGCGGCGGGGTTGCTGGGGCTCGGCGAGCTTTGGCGACGGGAGTGCTGTCCGTCCGTCATGCTGCTGTTGCTGTTGCTGCTGCTGCTGCTGCTGCTGCTGTTGCTGCTGCTGTTGCTGCTGCTGCTCCTCGTGCATGGCAGCGCCGCCAGAGCCTCTCGCCGCATCCGCCGCCGCCAGCGGCTGCCAGATGGCCGGCGCCACCGTTGCCGCGCCCACCGCCGCTGCGGCAGCCGCCGACGCCGACGCCTCCCCGCAAACACTCGCCGCGCGCGGAGGGGCCGCCGGCCGGGGCGCAGGGGCCAGCCCAACCCCGGGACCGCCTCCTCCTCCACCACCTCCTGCACCCCCGCCGCCGCCGCAACTGCCGCCCTCCAAGCTTCCAAGAGCCGCGATATCTTTCAAACGCGGTGCAGAATGGGACCGGCGCATCACCCGCGGCCGCTGCGGCGACGCCTCCGGCGCGTCCCCCGGCCGCGGCGCGTCCCCGCCGCCGTCCGCCGCCCCGGCCGCAGCGGGCGCGGGCGGGCAGCCAGCCAGGCTCTGGCGCATGAGGTGGCGCCCCGAGTTTGCCAGCTGTGAGTCGTCGGCCGTCGGATGCAGCGAGGGCACGGCCGCGACAGGCGGGCAGCCCGCGAGTGCGGCAGGCACGGCCGCGCCAGCGGCGCCGCCATTGGCCGCAGGGGCTGCCTCCAAGCCGCCTTCCAGCTCCTCCTGCAAGTCCAACTCGTCCTCGTCAGCACACGCCCCTGGCGCAGCGCTTGCGGCGCCCACGCACACGCCCCCTGCCTCCCGGGCCCCCGCGTGCCCAGGCGCCTCGTGCCGCCGCGCCGCGGCCGCGGCCGCGGCTGCGCCGCGCTGCTCGCGCTCCCGCTCCCGCTGCTCCTGCTGCTGCTCCCACCAGTGCTGGAAGTAGGGGCGCAGGTTGGCGCCGTACCGGTGCTTCGGGTCGGCGGCTTCGAGCCAGTGCTCGCACTGCAGCAGCAGGGCCGACTGCGCGCCGCCCTCAGACGTCCCCTGCAGGGGCACGGCGCCAAGCGGGAGGGTGGGGGCGACGGCGACGCCTGGACAATAAAACGGATGGCTCGAGCCCGCTGCCGTGCGCCTGAGCGCCCGCGGTCGCCCGCCAGTTCTGGTCCCCGTTTGCCCCACCCATTCCAAGGCCGGCCTGAGGGGCCGTCGTGCCTGTGCTTGCAAACGCGCTCACCCTGCCGATGCGCGACGCGCCCTTGATTCCAGCCCTCCACTGCCAATGCAGGCCGAGGTGCCGCTCCACCGCACGGCCCATGTCAAACCCACCCGAGCCACCGTCGCCGGCGCCGCCGGTGCGCTCGGTGGGAGGGCGAGCGGGCGGCGTCGAGTAGCCGCCCGGTGGGGTTGCCTCGCTCTGCTGTCCCGGGCGATGGACAGGAGCGCCGGCGCCCATCAGGTTTGCGCCCGCCTGGGCCGCTGCTTTCTCTGTGTCGAGGGCGGTTGGTGGGGAGCTGGAGGCCACGGCGACTAGGTGCTGCAGGAACAGCGTGCCGCTCATGGCTGCCGCAAATCAAATGCGGCGCACGGCCACCCGTGCGTAGCGGCACCAGCAGGGCGGCGGGCGGGTGTCGCCCGCCTGTGCGACGAGCGGGACAGGTATTATATGGAGGATGCGGCACTGAGCGTCAAGTGAATCACAGCACTTTCAAGGCTGCGTCACGCGCGCTTCGACTGAAAATCAAGCCAGGGACAGGAGGTATAGAAGGGACGCAGTGACGCGAGAGTGCGCCTGCCTCTGCACACTCGAAGTTGACGTCGCGATAAAAATAGATAAGCGCGCGCGAGACTAAGGTGAACTGACCAGATCTACACTGACAATGTCCTGGGGAGATCACTTGCAACCTTGCCTGGCTCTGCTCGAGGGTATGCCGAGGCGGCTATGCTATCTTGGACAGCTCTCTTTGCGCTCGCGCTCAGCTGATACGTGCTGAATTCGGGCTGCAATGCTGGGGCCGCGTGCGGCAGGCAGGCGGACGCGCATTGTCGCCCAGGGCCTGCCCAGGGCGACCGTGCGGGTCACCATCATCGAAGCACATGAGCGCTGCGCCCACTCGGTCTACGAGTTCAGCCGCCACGTCATCTTGCATGTGCACTATCAGATTTCAAATCAACCCGCTACAGTAGTAGCAACAGAGGAAATGGGAGGGGGGTGGGGTGAGGTGTCGTCTCAGGTCTCACCCCACCCCCCTCCCATTTCCTCTGTTGCTACTACTGTAGCGGGTTGATTTGAAATCTGATAGTGTGGTGGGGATGCTGATTAGTGGGGACGTGCAACAGGACGCACACGCGCCTGGGTGCTTGTCGACAGTTACACACGCAAGCGCTGCATTCGCGCCAACAGCTTGCACAAGCGGAATCCGGGCAAAATCATACTCCATTCTGTCCATGCGCACAGCTGCCCCGCCAACAGTGCGAAAAATGCCGAGCCGTCCGCCTGGCAGCGGCCGTGCTGAAACCATCGTACAGGTGGCCGCTGCAGTATTCGGACATATGGTACCGTTGAAACATTTGCAAAGCGCGGCGCTCCAGGCTCGGAGTACGAGGCTGGTCCTGCCGCCGTGCTGGTGTGTACCACAAACAGGCGCTGCTCTGTGAGACTGAAATGCGTTTGAGACAAGTGCGGAGTGGGGCAATGCCAGCCTTGCTAATTTGATGACGTCATCCTGCATCAAGCGAGACCCACGCACGCAAACAGGAGGGGGCGCCACGCGGCCCCCGCTGCCAGCAGCAGCGCCTACACGCCGCCGCCCAGCAGCCCGCCGGCCGCCGGGCGCTGCAGCGGGCTCCCGGCCAGGTAGACCTCGCTGAGCCCGCGGCCAGCGCCGGGGCCGCCCGACTGCGCGGCCTCGTCAGCCGCAATAACCC